CAGGGTTTCAGGTGAAGGGTTTAGGATTTATAAATAGGGTCATGAGTGAGAACCATTCAGGTCATTGCGCCCACTATCTTCCGCGCTGCGCTTGCCCAGCTCAAAGAGCGCGTGTCTGCCTGCAACGCTAGCAAGATGAAGGACGATGAGTTTTTCGATACGACCAGCATGGTGATGAGAATCCAGTTAGCCAAGCTTCGCGATATGGCCTTCTCGTAACTTGATTCAGAAGGGGACAGCAGGTTGATTGATGTTATCTGTCTTGCTTGAGGAGAGATGCGAGAGGGGGGGAGGGACCTAAATCGGATGTCGTTGCTGCTTCTGAGTCCTACATCGGCTTGGTCCAAGAAGGCAAGAAGGGAGGAGATTTTGAAAGTCGAAAAGCTTGTGGCTCTGGTAGCCAAGGAGACACCGAAGGAGACTGAGCAGACCCCGGCTGCAGGTTCCAATCCGATAGAGTCCTGCGACGAAGGTTGGCCTGACTTCACACGCGTGACAGCCGCGCTTGCTGATACTCGGGCTCTGGTGCCATGTGAAAGATCGACGGAAGAAAGCCCAGAGCTTGAGCGAGCTCCAAGCTTCCTCAAGAGGGCACCAAGCTTTGTGCAGGCCGCTGAAGAAGCAGCCTTGCAGGCAGCTCTGAAGAGCGTTCCTTTGTCGTCTGCTGCGAAGTCAGCTGCCTTCCAGGCCTGGCTGTTTCGTGAGCGATATCTTGAGGAGCGAACGAACGAGAGAGAGAGAGAGAGAGAGAGAGAGAGAGAGCTTGTGGAGAGAGAGAGCTTGTGGAGAGAGAGAGAGCTTGTGGAGAGAGAGCGCTTGTGGAGAGAGAGAGCTTGTGGAGAGAGCGAGAGAGAGAGAGAGAGAGAGAGAGAGAGAGAGAGAGACTCTAAACTCTAAACCTGAAACCCAAAGAAACCTGAAAGCCTCATTGAGAGGCCATCAAGTGCAGCAAGAAGCAGTCGCAGCAGAAGCAGCAGGAGGCCGTGATGGCTGCTGCTCTTGCTGCCAAGCCAAAGGCGGAAGGCAAACCGAAAGCCAAGGCTAAAGCGACGCAAGCAAGGCCCAAAGCTCAGACATCTACGAAAGCTACGCCGAAAGCTAAGGCAGCTACGAAAGCTACGCCGAAAGCTAAGGCCAAAGCCACAGCCAAGAGTGCCAAGAGCAAGAGTTGCTTGCGAAAGAAGCCGAAGAAGCAGCTCAAGATGGACCCGAAAAACGTGGCCTCGCGAGCGTATCATCGAGTTCGCAAGCTGGCGCGGCGCAACGGCAAGAGTAAGGAAGAAGCACGCAAGCTGGCCTGCGAAGCTCACAGAGAAGCAATGAAAGCCTGCACAGCCTAAGTCTCACGTCCTGAGGCCGCGCTCGCGCCCGTTTCTTTAGAGTCTGCATTCTTGTACGCTACTTCCGCGTCTCAGGTTCACAACGAGCTCCTGAGAGCGCTCCTTTCGTTCACGCATTCTTGCACGCAACTGGCGCGGTTTGAACCGCGCAGGAGCGTGCAGGTCTCAAAAGCAGAGAACACGAAAGAGAAAATTCGCGGCAGCCCGCAGGATATGGTGTCAAGCGCGTGTTTTTTCCAACAGTTTTTTTCGGATTTTTTCTTTGTTTTTTCGAAAATCGCAAAAAGAGCCCCGACAGACTGGTTCAGTTTCAGTATGGTTTTGGTCAAATTTGACCAAAACTAAACCAGATAGTGGTTTGTTTTGGGTTGTCTTTTGGTCAAATTAGACTGAAAGTAAACCATGATGCGGTTTACTTTTGGTCAAACTTTACTTAAAGTAAACCATGGGTGCGGTTCACTTTATGTATAATTTGACTGATACTCGACCATGCCCGGTTAAGTTTTAGTTCAATTTGACTCAAACTACACCCACTCGGTCTGTTTTCAGTCAAATTTGACTATAACTAAACTCATCGTAGTCGGGTTTAGGTCTAGTTTGGCCGAAAGTCAACCGTGCGTATTGTCTAGTTTCAGTCTAATTTGACCCAAACCAGACCACAGCATGGTTCAGTTTGAGTCAAATTTAACCACAACCACACCGAAACTAAACCACAGCATGGTTTAGTTTTAGTCAAATTTGACCCAAAATTGACTAAAACTAAACCAAGTTTTGCCGGCTTGATTCGGGCAGGCTAAGAAAAAAAGCCCCCTCACCCCCCCCCCCCCCCCCCCCCCCCCCCCCCCCCCCCCCCCCCCCCCCCCCCCCCCCCCCCCCCCCCCCCCACCCCCCCCACCCCCAAACCAAAAAAGGAGCCGAGACCAGCGTTTCTTGAGCATGAGAACGTTGGCTCGACAACCAGGCTCAAAGGACACCATGCCGCTTCTTCGGAGAGGAGGCATTAGACAGAGATTAAGTAGAGTTGAAGCGGAAGCCGATGGCAATGTCGTCGGCCCAGAGTCCGTTTTGGGTCGCTACCTCGTGATGCAATGGGCATGGGGTTTTCAGACACTTCCTAAGCTGCAGCTTACCGCGGCACTTGCTGTGGAAGATATGGTAGCAGGCGGCGGGGAATGCCCTGGGTCACTGCGCGCGTTGGCCGCGCTTGGAAGCAATGGCAAGTATCCCGCGAACATGTTGCACGGCTTGCTCGAAAGTAGCCAGCTTTGATTTGCATGTAGCTAAACCACCGCAGACATGTTTCTGTGATATGCAAAGAAGAAGGTACAGAGATATCATGCTTCGCGTGCGCCCGAGTAACTTTGAACTTTCGACGGTACGCTTGCCAAGCAACGACGACGAAGCGGTGGAGCTCAAGGCTCTGTGGCCACATGCTACTGGGATGTATAGATTCGTTTGTTCAGTTTCGATTGTGTGCGAGTGAGAGTTGCGCCAGATTACTTGCGGAGTGTAAGTCGCGTGCGCGAGCTTGTGATTGTTTGAGCTTGTGAAAGTTTGCTCGAGGAGAGTAGAGCTTAAACCCTAAACCCTAAACCTTAAACCCTAAACCGAGTGAGAGCTTGTGAGAGATGGCTTGAGGAGAGTCCCGGTGCACGAAGGAGTGGTTTGCTAAGATGCACAGCTGCTATCCTGCAGCCTTCCAGAAATACATATTGGATAGCCGAGAAACCTTGCACAAATATTGGGCGCAACACACTCCTGATTCTCCTTTGCTGACGGATCACCCAATTCGAAGTCGAGAAGACCGGTTCACCAGCGGCATTCCACTTGCACTACACGGAGACGGTGTAAGTGTGACTGGTCTGGGCAAAGTATGGCAGCAGGGTGTCGATGTCTACTCAATCCACAGTCTACTTCCGCAAACAGCAGGCACGAGACTAAGGCACCAAGTAATAGCTCTGGTGCCCTTAGCTTTGCTGGGCAAGGACGCGGAAAGCCAGGCTCGCATTGACGTGATGCATCGGCACCTTGCCTGGAGTCTACAAAGTCTGGGGGAAGGCGTTTGGCCTCGTCTTGACCCCTATGGCCAGCCTTGGCCGCAAGGGTCAAGGGACAGAAAAAGAGCGGGGAGGCGACTAGCAGGTCATTTCTACGCTGCTGTGATCATGGTGAAAGGCGATCTGGACTTCCTGTGGAAAGGACTGAGATTACCGTCGTTCTCAAGTAACAGCCCTTGCGGCTTGTGCCGCTGCGGAACACAGGGTCTCAATGCTTGGTGGAACATTTCACCCAACGCTAGCTGGGTTACCCGACAAGCCGACCACGTTCACAGAAGCTCAAGCCCACTTTTTCGGGCAATTAGCCGACACTCTATTTGTCCTGATTGGCTTCACAGCAAGCATCTTGGGACAGATGCGTACATAGCGGCGTCAGTAATGACGCTCTTATCGTACGAACTCATGCCCAGCGCACCGTCGAGGAATTGCTGCAGCATCTTGCAGTTCTTGAAAGCCTACGCTCCAGGTCAGACCATCAACAAGTTGAAACTGTATCTCGCCCAACTAGGTTTTGAGTAGTGAATTTCCAAGGATAGATTCGTCGGCGCCTTTTACAGCCATGTAAGGAGCATGTTCGTGCCGGATGCAAAACATCCTTGGGCGCATTTCCCGAAGCTGAAAACAAAGGGCGCGGAAACGAAGAATTTACTTCCAGGACTACTACAATGCTGGATGACGTACATGGATGACACGAATCAGGCTGCTTGCTTGACTATATAAGAAGTTGTGCTGCAAAAGAAACAAGCTGATCAGCTTAGGTTCACATGCAGATCATGCTTCTTCTCGAACGCAGCATAAAATTGGATGGCATCGTCTCCGACTGTTTCGACTTTGCTCTCCCTGCTGACGACGCAACAGAGCTAGTGGAGACGGGCTGGGAACACTTTGCTCTGCAGTCAGCATTGATGAAACATTTCGTGCAGTCGGAGGGCAAACTCCTGTTCAACGGCACATTCAAATCGCATTGGCTCATGCACTCCATTCTCATCTCATCCTGGGTTTCTCCAAGAGACTTGACCAAACCAAAGCCGCAGACACGTTGTTGCAGCAGTTTATCTTGCCAAGCAGCCTGAACCCCTGCTAGCAGCCAGGAGTGGCTCAGTGCTACGCAGACGAAGACCTGATGCAAGGCGTTCGTCAGTTAGTGAAGTATGCCACGCGCGGACGTGATCAAGCCTCGGCTATTCGGAAAGCCATGGTGAAGTACAGCTTGGCATTGCACCTGCAGCACACAAATCTTGCTGCGTGAAGAAAAAAAGAGAGTTCTTGTGGAGTGTGAGAGCTGCATCTTCGCTTGTGTCCAGTTGCACATGTCTTGATATAGCACGCAAGCTTTTCCGCCGAATAATTCAGTCCGCTCAAGCTCCAGTTCTTTCCTGCTTGCTACAAGCTCGTCTCGTCCCTGGCACTTACAGCCATGGACCTCGCTTCGGCCTTTGCTAAGGGAATGCCGTCTACCCGAGGCGAGCTTGTAGCAGAAACGCAGCCAGACAACAAGGACACGCAGCTCCAGCTGCCGTCTACCCAAGGCCAGCTTCTAGCAGAAACGCAGCCAGACAACAAGGACACGCAGGTCCAGGAGCTGGACCTTGACGAGCCAGAAGAGCTCACTGCGAAAGCTGCTGAAAGCGAGCAAAAAGACGTGGCAAAGCCGAAAGTGAAAGCCGGAAAGCCGAAAGCCGAAACGGCTGCTAAGGCTAAGGCAAAAGCGAAGGGAAAGGCAAAAGCAAAGGCAACAAGCAAGCAGAAAGAGCAAAAGCCCGTGGAGGAAGCTGAGGACCCTCCGTCTGAGACCAAAGAAGCCAAAGGGAACGGGAAGAGAAAGAAAGCAGAGCAGAACGACGAGAACGAAGACACGAAGGAAGCCAACAAGCAAGACAAGAAGGCCAAGAACCAGGACAAGAAGCCTGCCAAAGAGGAGAAGGACACGAAAGAGGAGGAGAAGCAGGGAAAGGCCAAGCAAAGGAAAACAAGCGGCGACAATGGCTCATCGGAGCCAACCAAGCCGAAGAGTGCTAAGGAAAAGGCTGCCAAAGAGGAGAAAGACACGAAAGAGGAGGAGAAGCAGGGAAAGGACCAGGGAAAGGGCAGGCGAAGGAACACAAGCGGCGACAATGGCTCGGAGCCAACCAAGCCAAAGAGTGCTAAGGAAAAGGCTACGGCACTTGTGGCCTGGACCGAGGCAAAGGAAGACGACCAGGCGACTGATCGAGAAAGTGCACTTGTGGAGAGTAAAGGGTTTGTTTTTTTGTTTCAGGGTTCGAGGGTCAGTTTTAGTGTTTCGCTGAATCAAAACTTGCGAGAGAAACTTGAGGAGAGCTTGCTGAGAGGAATATGAATTTTCGTGACAACCCCGCAGGGCTCGGACCAGGAAGAGCACCGCGATCCCTGCAAAGCTCGCTTCTTCAAGGCAGCCAAGAGCAAGGACAAGCTACCGGAGCCGCTAGTCGAACTCTTCGAAAAGTCAAACAGAAGAGACCAGACGGAGATCGTGAACAAGGTGGTCAGACGCAACGAGCACGGCGGCTTTGTGCTCAACTTCGAGAGCGAGTTCTACAGGGAGATCCACACGAGGTATGAGGAGAGCAAAGCCAAAGAGAAAGCTATCGGCAAGACCCTGACGGTAGCAAGAGCAATGGCAGGAGGCAAAGCTATGCTTCAACTTTCCTATAGGCCCTAGCCCAATAATAAACCTCTAAACTCTCAAGCACCCTAACCCCTAAACCCCTATAAGGCCTTCACCTACGTAGTTGTTTTCCCAGAGGCCAAGAAGCGCTGGACGCTGCTATCCGTTCTGGTGAGTGCACCGTGATCCGCGAGAAAGGCAAAGAGTTCTACGTCTTCGAGGATTCCGTAGCAAGTTTCGCCCCATTTCTCTCGGTGAGTTTGCTGTTGGAGAATTATAACACTCGATCCTTTCAGGAGCTGTCTGTTACCAACACCACTGGCAAGCTGATCAAGAGACAGGTCACTGGTGAAGGCGAGATTGGACAGGACAGCCTAACTGTAATCTTGACTAAGGAGACAGCACTCTGCGTGGTCGAAAAAAATTGATTGATAGGAGGGCGGCAGCGCTTTCCGAGAGTTCCTGGAGAACTTTGAGATGCACCTCACACCCAGCTCCGCAGACGCCTCGTCAAGCTCAAAGGGCCTGGCGCAGAACGGCTTCTCCGAAGAGGACCCTACTTTTTTTGTTCGCTATACCCTAAAAAAAAAAGCTATGGCAGGAGAAGGCGAAGCTGAACGAGGGCATCGCTATGCTTACTGATGCTCGCAAGAACGCCGAGAGGCTCTTTCTCGACATGAAGTCGAAGAACTCCAAGTCAAGCCAAGTGGTCAAAGACATCATGCGAAACAACCTTCAAACCGTACTTGAGAAAATCAGCGAGCTGAACCAGGCCTCGGTGCAACAATCTGTTTCAGAGCACATGTGGAGAGCACATTTGTCACCGATAGCACCTTTCGGAGGTTTCACTCTTTGGAACCCTTCGTGATCAACCCGTGAGCGTGCAGCAGCTAAAGTCCCTGCTGCGAGAGGCCTGCATGTGCCCTGAACCCTAAACCCTAAAATCCCTCAAGTTTTATCCTGAACCCTAAGCCCTGAAACCCCTCAAGTTTTATCCTAAACCCTAAACCCTAAACCCTGACCCTAAATCCTACATGGATAGAGAAAGAGAAGTATGGGTCCCTGCAGGCCGCAGTGGCCATGCAAGAGCTGACCGAGTCTACAAAGCTGTGCCGGGCTTTGAGCTGAGCTAAGCAGTCTCACCCCACTAGCCTTTGTGCAGAAGGCAATTTTGCATTGCCTGTTCATCTCAGAAGCCGAGGTGTTCTTCAACACGTCGCGTTAAAGTAGTAGGGAGGGACAAGCCAAAGGGGAATGGCATAGAACGCTGAGAGGAAACATGCGTGATTGCAGGCTGCTGTCATTTCTCAAACCTGTGCTTCGAGGAAATTGAGGAGAGCAAGGGCCCCTATTTCAACGAAACTTGCGAGTTACTTGTGGAGGGAGAGATGATTTGGGGAAACCTTGTGGAGGGAGAGATTTGAAGAGAGCTTGTGGAGAGAGAAACGATTGGAGAGAGAGAGAGAGAGAGATTGTTTGAAGAGTACGCTGCAAATGAATTAGCTTTTGACATGGACTGTTGTGACGAGTTCTTGCAAATATCTGGCCCCGTGATTGGACTCGGCATTGAGAGGGCACTTGAGGAGCGACAAAAAAACTTAGACTATCATGCCTTGAAGCTTGTCATGGTTTGACATGGTCGAAGTCTCAAACCAGTGATTTCTCTTACGTTATGTGCTTCGGGAATAATGAACCTAAGATTTTATCTTAAGTTTAAATTTAAATTAAACTATTTTAGTTTAAAAATTTAAACTAAACTATTTTTAGTTAGCTACTAGTTTAAGTTTAAATTTTAACTATTAGTGAAAATTTATATTTTAGACTTAATTATACTTCTAGTTTATTTTTTGTCTTAACTGATTCTTAAGGTATGAGTCTGCTGCCGCTGCCTGGGAGCTCGCGAAAACGCGGAGCGGCTTTTCTAAGAAGATGGTTTCAAACGCCATGGCTTTGGAGAAAGCCAGCTCATTTTGAGGCTGGCGCTGCAGGCAATGCCCAGCATTGTCTGAGTAGGGTGCTGAGCGCAGCCAGGTCGAAGCATGGGTAAACTCATAGCAGCAACGGCCGCTGGAACAAGAATGCTGAGTGACCTGTTGGGCTTGGCCAGGTTTTGTATCTGTTTGTCATCCTCGCAGCGTGCGAGTTCCAAGATATCGCAGCAAGGCAGCTGGAGTTTCCGTTCAATGGTGTTCGAGACATCATCACAGGGCATCCTGTTCGCGTGAGGCCGACGATGAAAAGGTGCACTCGTTTGAAGTTTGAAAGAAGCAGTACATGTTCCTGCTTTTTGCAAGCAGCCTGTGTGTGCCACAGTGTGCTTGAAGCCGACTATATATCACATAGATGTCGCAGTTGCGGGCCCATTTCAGTTCGATCTTGCAAGTGATTTTCAAAATGAGCCCCAGCAAAGCTAGAGGAACCCGAAACCCTCAACCTCGAAACCCTAAACCCTTACCCTAAGCCCTAAAGCCTAAACTCTAAACCCTAAACCCTGAACCCTATAACTCCTCAACACTAAACCCAGACAAGTAGAGAACAATCCGGGTTCTCACAAATTGTCTCGGGTTTATGGTAAGCTGGTGCTTTCTGGGGGTGCGTGCACTAGCACGCTGAGCTGGCTTCGTGAGAAGCAATGGCGACGGGGTGGAGGCTTGTGTGGGACATGCGGACTGATGATTTTGAATAAGATCACTATACAGGGTAGCAACCAGGAAAGAGCGATTAGAGGGTTACGCTAAATACGTCAGTCGCAGAAAGTGTCAGGTCTGGGGGAAGCAGACCATTGCTGTGGATGATGCTCTGAAGGCCGGACGGCTTTGGAGTTTAACTTTACACCCCTCTTGCAATCCATGCAGCTATTTGTAATATTCGTGCGCGTGTTGGGGATTGTTCATGTGTTTGCGAGGCCCAAAACCACGTCTTGACACATTTTGCGCAGGGGTGTCGCAGAGCCAAAAGGTTGAGGGATGGAGCTACAACCTAGGCACGTTTCTCTGTCATTTGACGGTTTAAGAGTGATGGCTCTTAAACGCAATCGCAAACATGGGCGGCTGCGCGACAAAGTCAATGCAACTGCTACGCGGAAATCCAAGAGATGCATTTTGCGTGGGCTGGCGTACATTGGGGCTCCCCTCGCTCTTCGGACAAATTAAGAGCATATTTCACCGAGCCGTTCTAGGCCAATCTGCAACCCCTGGCCCCGATGCTCCCCCGTCCCAAATCTGTTTCTTCCCCCATCCCAGGTTTGTTTCTTGCTCACAAGACTCATCCTCGATCTTCCTGATTTGGATTGGTCATCCCCGATCGATCATCTGGAGTTCTTCTCCGGTATGATGAGTGTGACGAAAGCTGAGCTGCAGGTCAGGGTTCGCTGGCGCACGATTCAGTGTGAGAACTTGGGTGAAACAGTATACGTGTTCTGCGTGATCAGGAGGGCCGTCGATGTGTGGCATATGACATCACCTACGACAGTGTATGGATGGACATGCTTGCTCCGAGGGGCTACATTCACGCCGTCTACCAGGTCATGAGACTGCTCCCAGGATCTTTCCTCACCCTGGCGCCAGTCTGCAGCTCCTGGGTTTACATGTGCTTCGTCTGTAACTGACAGTGTCTGCGTGTGGACTTGTGGTTCCCAAAGCATCATGAGCTGGTTCTGAAAGCCGAGCATCGTGAGCCGTTTAAGGTCAAGGGGGTCGACGCAACGAAGCAAAGCCAGGCCTTTAGGCGACCTTGAAGCCCCCAGTGTGATCACTGGAAATCGGCTTGTCGCGCGGGTCGCAATTTTGATTTATATAGCATGCGCCAAGAAGGTGCATGTAGTGTTCGAGCAACCACGTGGATCCCTCCTGGAAGACCACCCGGCGATACAGAAGCTGTTTGCGCAATTGAAATGGTACCGGCACCACGTCTTGATGAAGACGTTCGGTGGCGACACACTCAAGGGGACGTGGCTATATTCCAGTTTGATGCTCAGTCCAACTTGGAGTTTCACGGTACTTATAAATCATTTATGACTGTACTTATAACCCACTTATACGCCCCTTACGTTACGTGCCCTAATATGGTTATAAGTACAGTTACAAGTACAGTACAGACATAAATGGTTCGTAAGTACCATGAACCTCCAAGAAGCGGCCTATGTTTCGGATGCGTGGTTGTTTAAAGAAAGTCTTGGGTTTAGAGGTGTCTCGCGCGTCCTTGAGCAGGCCACAAATTCATCAAAGACTTGGAGCGGTACCGACCATTGCACACCCATCTATCCTCGGAGAAGAAAGAAATGGTCGTGCGGTACAAAGACTGTTCTGGAAGGGAGTGCCTCAAGGGAGGCAAAGATTTAAAGAGCTCGCAAGCTTATCCGCGGCCGAAGCTAGGCCGCAGTAGGTTGCGATAGTGAATTGCTCATAAAACGTTCATTTTCTCAGTTTCTACCCTAAACCCTAAACCCTAAACCCTAAACCCTAAACCCTAAACCCTAAACCCTAAACCCTAAACCCTAAACCCTAAACCCTAAACCTTAAACCTAAACCCTAAACCCTGAACCCTAAACCCTGAACCCTAAGCCCTAAACCCTAAACCCTGAACCGCGCTTAAGGGCTGCTGTTAGGGGGGGGGGGGGGTATCCTTGCACATGGGCTTGGAGTGCCCACGTATGGAATTTTGGAGCCTGTGACTGTGGCCAAGCGCCTGTAAAGACCCGGAGAGAGCTATTTGGGGGGATACTCTTGCGGGTTGTTGAAGGAAGTGAGGAGTGCTTGGGGCGTCCCTCTAGACCTGGGAAGGCGTTGGTGGGGGCGTGCAGTTGGTGTGGGGTTCCTAAGCCTTTTCTGGGGGGGGGTGCAGGGGGTTGGAGGGTGTTGGGCAGGGTGGGGTGTAGGGGGGTTGGGGAGGGGGGAGTTTTTTTGCAAAGTTTTTTTGTGACCTGAAGCTTCCTCCGAGACCCTCCTAGACCCTCACAGACACCTTGAGACCCTTCAACTACCTTAAACTTCCTTACAGACACCTTAGAGGCCCTTCAACGGCCTTAAACCGAGACCTTTCTTAGAGACCCTTCAACAGCCTTAAACATCCTTAAACTTCCTGCATGGCCCCTCACAGACACCTTAGAGGCCCTTCAACGGCCTTACACTTTCCGGACTCTGTCAGACAGCTTAGAGACCTTCAACGGCCTTAAACTTCCGCCATGGCCCCTCACAAACACCTTAGAGGCCCTTCAACAGCCTTAAACTTCTTCCTAGACTCCCAGACACCTTAGAGACCTTCAACGGCCTTAAACTTCCTCCATGGCCCTTCAACGGAAATTTCCTCTATGGCCCCTCACAGACACCTTAGAGGCCTGAAACTTCTTCCGAGACCCTCCCAGACATGCATGGCCCCTCACACACACCTTAGAGGCCCTTCAACGGCCTTAAGCTTCCTCCAAGACCGTCCCACACTCTCACAGACACCTTAGAGGCGCCTTAACCGGCCTGGAGCTTCCAGGCAAGACCTTACGTGCACCTCTTCACTTGTGCCTTACGTGCGCCTCTTCACTTGTGCCGGGGGGGTTGGGGGGGTTGGGGGAAGGGGGTTGGGGGGTTGGGGGAGGGGGGGGGGGGGGGGGGGTCTACCCCTGAAACAAAACCCTAAACCCTCAACCTAAACCCGAAATCCTAAATGTGCTTCACCACAAAGTAGATCCAGTCTACAGTTTTCCCCAAACCCCACCCTCCCACAAATTGAGCAGTTCGAATCACTCATGCTGACAACAACAGCAATTCCTTGGCTTGGCTTGGGGCAGAGAGCTGAGGTTCGGAACTGCTCTAGCAATGCTGCGCACTCACAACAAAGCTGAAACAAAAAGGGAGGCTGATGTCTTCATCAAGGCAGCCAAACACAGGCGTCGTGCAAACGGTGGCATCGTGCGTGGTCGCACTTCCAGAGAGTGCCGAAGGGAATTGCGCGCTTGGATAGAGGATGCTGATCTGAGCTCTGTGCTGAGCCTCTTGAAAGGGCGGAAACTGTGAGTGCGACATATGGGCCTTTGCATTGAAGTGGTGGTCTCTGTCTAACCCGAGGAAGCCTCCATGAAAGACCCCAAACCAGCCCAGAAACCAAGGCGGAGGACACCACCAAGTATAATTTGTAATTCGTCTTCTAGTTCGTAGAATCGAACAGCAGAGCTGTGAGAGTTCGACAAATGCGTCATGTTCTTGAGAGGACCGGCTACTTGCGTCAAACCTTAGTCTCTAATTTGCAGCGCCGTTTGTCCCCTGCAGGCATGGGCCGATTGGTTTTGGGCCACCTCAAGGAGAACTTCCAAGGCGGAGGCCTTGGGGCCTTGCGGTTTAGGGTTTAGGGTTTAGGGTTTAGGGTTTAGGGTTTTAGGGTTTTAGGGTTTTGGGGTTTTAGGGTTTTGGGGTTTTAGGGTTTTAGGGTTTTAGGGCTTTAGGGTTTTAGGGTTTTAGGGTTTTAGGGTTTTAGGGTCTATAGGGTTTTAGGGTTTTAGGGTTTTAGGGTTTTAGGGTTTTAGGGTTTTAGGGTTTTAGGGTTTTAGGGTTTTAGGGTTTTAGGGTCTAGGGTTTAGGGTTGGGATGTCCCCCCTTACACTAACAGTCCTTCCTAGGATTATATATGAAAACTATAATCCCGATTAAGGACTGTTAGTGTAAGGGTGAACGTCCTAAGTTTAGAGTTTTGGCAGTGTTGTTTGCTTGTGACTTGTGACTTGACGCAACAATGCCTGTGTCACCCAACAAATGCAGGGGGAGTGGCGGGGGAGAGCAGCAAGCAAGAAGGAGCCCAGGAATCCAGGACAGCCGGGAACGGGACAACATGCCCAGAAAGTGCTGTAGCAAGCGCCCAGCAATCCAGGACAGCAGCCGCGAACAGGGGAAAAAGAGCAAGCAAGCGCAGAAATACAGAACCGCCGCTCCGCCCCCGCAAAAAAATACGAAAACTGAAACACAAAGAGAAAGAGCAAAAAAAAAAGAAAAGAAAAAACACAAAAAAAGTGCAAAAAAGCAGCCGCGAAAACGCGCGAAAAAGCCGCGAAAACGCGCGAAACGCCGCGAATTGTAGGAGCCCATTGCCAGGCCTTGCCCTCGCCTGAACTTTTGCTTGCAAATTTTCCGGCGCCCTTGAAACCAAAGCAAGGCCGGCCAACGCGATGAGATTCCTAAAAGACGAAGCCGCGAGCGGGAGGAGGCCACACACAAAACACGAAGCTGCGAAAACGAGAAAGCCGCCCACGATAGGAAGCTGTCAACTTGTGTAAGAAACCCTGAACGGTAGGAAGCCGCGAACGGTAGGAAGCCGCGAACGGTAGGAAGCCGAATGGTAAGGAGCGCCGGGAATGAACCAAGAACAATAAGGGAGAGACCATGGTTCGTGCATGCCTGTTGGTGCACACGTGCTTGCCATGTTATAAATCACCGTGGCTTTGGTTCTGCAGTTTTTGCTACATTCTTTGTGGCGTGCTTTTAAACTGTGCCACCGCGCTCGGTGTGTGGCGGGTTGGTGACGCAATGGCTCTTGCCAAAGACAAGAAGCTTGACCAAGAAAGAAAAGCCAAGAAGGGCAAGAAGGAGAAGGAGGAGCGGTCTGAGGGAGACCGCGGTCGCACGCCGGAGAGAGCCAACAAGCCGGAATGCAGACTGGCCGCAAAGACTTCCCCACGCACAGTCAAGCGCAAGTCGGCCTTGCGACGGAGCAAGACCTCGACCCAGGCGAAGCCAGAGACCGAGGCCGAGAACCAGCCAAAGGACGGCAACCCAGGCCCCGCAAAGAAAGCAAAGCCAGGCTCTGCTGCCACTTCTTCGTCAGTAGCACCGCCAACCAAGCAAGAGAAGAAAGCAGAGAAGAAAGAGAAGGCGAAGAAGGAGAAGAAAGACAGGAAAGAAGCCAAGAGGCAAGCAAAGGAGCAAGCGCAGAAGAAGCAGCAGGAGGCAGACAAGGAAGAGGAGGAGGCAGACAAGGAAGAGGAGGAGGACGCAAGCGAAGAAGCCTCGACAGAAGGCGAAAGGAAGGGCACCGTGTCACCGTGACACCGAAGAACCTTCTGACTGACTTCAACGACCAGGACACCCAAACTTTTCAAGTTTTTCATTCGACAGCCCTACACCCTAAACCCTAAACCCTAAACCCTAAACCCTAAACCCCAAACCCCAAACCCTCAACCCTCAACCCTCAACCCTCAACCCTCCCTAAACCCTAACCCTAAACCTTAAACCCTAAACCCTAAACCTTAAACTCGAGGCCAGATAAGTAGAAATTGTATGTTTCGCTAGGAGCAGCTCGTTCAATAATCCTTCCAGTGCAAAAAGAAAAAGATAGATAAGAAGAATGACCCCGCCTCGCCACCCCCACCCCCACCACCACCACCCGGCTCCCACCACCCCCACCCACCCCCCCACCCCCAACCCCACCCAACCCCAACACCCCCCCCCCCCCCAACCCCCACCACACCCCCACCACCCCCCCCCCACCCCCTCCCCAACCCCAAACCCCCCCCCCCCCCCCCCCCCCCCCCCCCCCAACCCCCCCCAACCCCCCCCCCCCCGCCCCCCACCAAAACACAAACCATACGAAACTTGCCCACCCCCCCACCCCACCCCCACAATGATGCCTCACTATTCCAGGCTTTGCGCGAAAGCCATTTCACTACCAGCATGCCACCTCCTCATTTTTGCAAGTTTGGCCACCTCCTCCTCAGCTCCAGCCCCTCAGCTCCCGCCCCTCAGCCAGCCCTTCGCCCAAAAACCAAAATTGAACCAGAAAAGCAAAAAGCAAACTCCCCCAAAACCACCCAAACGCTATAGAATTTAAACCCTAAACCCTATAAACCCTATAAACCCTAAGAACATAAATATAAAATTATTTAAAAAAAAGAACATATACATAAAATATAATAAATAATTTCAAACGATAAACCTTATAAACCCTATTAATAAACACTATAAACCCTATAAACCCTAATATAATATAATATATAATAATAAAAATAAACCTATAGAAATATTAATATAACCCTAATATTATATAAAATAATAAACCCTATTTAAATAATAAAAATTAATAAAAAAATAAAAAAAAACCCATAAACCATATAAACCATATAAACCCTAAAATAATAAAATAAAAGATAAACCCTATAAACCCTATAAACCCTATAAACCCTATAAACCCTATAAACCCTATAAACCCTATAAACCCTATAAACCCTATAAACCCTATAAACCCTATAAACCCTATAAACCCTAAAAACCCTATAAACCCTATAAACCCTATAAACCCTATAAACCCTATAAACCCTATAAACCCTATAAACCCTATAAACCCTCTCAACCCTATAAACCCTATAAACCCTATAAACCCTAAACCCTAAACCTTAAACCCTAAACCCTAAACCCTAAACAAGCAGGACAGCCAGATCAACAGGGAGTACCTTGACGAGTTGTTGGCGGAGCTTGAGGCCAGCCCAACAGTGGACGCGGATTCGGAGGAATCCAGCACAGAGACAGAATCCGACGCGGACAGTTCCGACGATGACAGCTCGGACGGGTCTTCGGAAAACTCTAGTGGCTCTTCTAGCGGAGACGAGTCAAAGGCTTCGGAGCCTCAGCAGGTTGAGGAACCGGAGGCAAAGGAGAGGGGTGGGCAAACACCAAAGAAGAGTGTGTCGGGGAGCGAGGCAGGCCAGAACGAGCAGGTTGCGCCTAACCCGCCGGAGCAGTCCTTGGCCTTGGTTGCAACGTCAGCAGAGGTTGCCACGGTTCAGAAGGCAAACAGTCGCTCAAAGCAGAATCTAAGGAAGAGACCATGCCATGAGAGGGTGCATGTGTGAAAGACATGAAGAAGGAACAATCTCTTTCATTGTTTCTGATACTAAGGCAGCAGTCACAAGAAGGACTGGGATACGTTTACAAGGCAATGTCAAAACCGGAAGACATTTCCAACGGAGTTGTCCGAGTACTACGACAAGAGCAAAGTTGACTTGTTCAATTTGTGGCTCACGAATGGCAAAGACCTACAAAAGCCTCCTCCTTAATCGTACCTGTGCACGTCGTTGTAGATAACGCAATGTTTCTTCGTTTGCTTTGCCCGCCTGCAAGGGTAAAGGTGGTGGTGGAGCGCATACGCGAGAAGAAGACAACGGCCCGACAAGGAGCTGCTGCCATGAAGCACCGGGACATTGTGCTGATCTATGGCAAGGACAAAACAGATCAGCTTTGCGCCAGGTTGAAAGAAGCAGGCCGCTGGTACTATGACGAAGAATGGCCAAAAGACGAAGACGAAATCTACAACTACGTTACGAGGCCCCGGAAGCTCAACGTGGAAAACATCACCAGTGAGAAGGCAAGCATGCAGGCTACCGCGCACATTGATGACGCAGAGGCCATGAACCAGCTGACTGCTGCAGACGGGGTGTTTGGTGCCGGCGTTGAAAACAGCCACGGCAGCTGGCGAGAAGGCTGTGCACGAGCAGATCTTGGCAGACGAGGTGCAGAAGCCTCCCAGAAAGAAGGCAAAAAAGGAAGCCGCAGAACCGGAAGTCATGGTTCCTGCGACTGACAAGGACAAGGCTGAGGACACCGCGAAGGAAGTCTTGAAAGCAATTGGGGAAGCGCGAAAGCACGCCCTGTCTCTTCAGGGTGTGGAGTACAGCGACACCCTCGGCAAGGACTTGTCGCAGTTCGCCAAGGACACGGAGAAAGAGTACCTGAAGGTGCAAAAGAAGCTGAAGAAGAAGGTGACCAAAAAGAAGGACAAAAGGTACTTCCTCGACTACATCACCAAAAGCCAAGCAAAGCTCGAGTGGTTCAAAAAGGCTGAGGCAACTGATGGGTGCGACATTCAAAAGCCCAGAACCCAAGACTCTATAGACTCTAGTTTCCAAAGTTCCCAATTTTGAAAACCGAAAACAAAGAACCTTGACCGTCCTAAACCCAACGCTAAACCCTAAACCCTAACATTGTCGTTTTGTTTGTGATAGGCGGCCGCGAAATCCCTGATCTCGAGCAGCAAGACGAAGAAGCCAAAGGCTCGGCTAGGGGAAAGAAGGACACAAAGGAGGACAGCTGATCCGCAGCGCGGGTGGTGTTTTGACGTCGTGGCTTGAAATGTGCCACTCGGTTTTGACCATCGTGACCATCTTGCAAAGCTTCACAAGTCTCGAGCGCTCAGAAATGCAATCACGAGCATCAGTGGGGAAGAGAGGGGGGTGGGGGGCCTCCTTCACAGCCTTGCTTCGTAGTAACTTATATCCACAACCGCAACCCGTATCCCGGCGCAGGTCCCTCCTTGGGTTCAGACGCAACGTGGCCAAGGCGCGTCGCGACTTGAAAATCCCGAAACCCAAAAGCAGCTACGCCCACAACCTCAAACTCGAGGCCCGTTATAGTTAGTGAACCCTAAGCTCTAAACCTGACACACAGACCCTAAGTATAAACATTATAAACCCCACACTCAAACCTTGAAGCTCTAAATCCTGCTAGGTTGTGTTCAGCGGGATGGGGTTCAGGAGCAGGTCCCTTGTTCGGCTCCAATACCGTTTGCTTCGGCCAAATTTATACGATGTTGCGTTATGTTAAACTTTACCCTAGTTACACAGTACACTGCGCTATTGAAGACGTGTAGGGTTTTGTAAAGTAAAGCGCATAATGCAGCATCGTATAGCTTCAAGGCTTGCCTTTGGGCTTGAGTATTCACGGGCTGAGTCCAGAGAGCTTGAGGTTGCGCGTGTGCTGGGGATTTCGGAGGCGTTTTTTTTTTTTTTTTTTGCGGGGTTGGAGGTTGGTGGCTTCGGCGCTTACAACACCCACCTGTACGCTTTGCAAATTGGGGTTAGGGGTTGAGGCTTGGGGCTTGCAGGGTTTCAAGGTTTAGGGCTGAGGGTTTAGGACTGAGGGTTTAGGGTTGGGGTTTAGGGTTGAGGGTTTTGGCCACTGTTTCGGGCACCAATGGCTCTGTCGCCGAGATTTGTACGATGCTTCGTAGAATGTCTGTGTGTACGCGAAAGCTTTAGAAACTGAGGCATTGCTCTGGTCAACTCTTGCAATGAACGAATATATCCCGGAACATATTCTCACAACATTTGCTGGAAACTATACATTTGTTTTCCAGGACCCATCGACAAGACGACAGCCATGACAGGCACATTGGCAGGACTTTCGTCCCTACGTTTTGTTCAGGGTTTAGTCGGGCTCAGGCCGTATAGGAGTTTACTTGTGGGTCAGTGCTGTATAGTTTGTTTGCGTACCCCAAACAGAGTGTTGCTGATAAGCATGACAAGTGTGACGGTTTGTCTGGCAGGCCACTGAAGCGCTGCAGATATGAGAACCTGCCGCGCAGCCATGAAGCGGAGGAGTTTATGAGCAACCGGGCTGCCTTTTGCGCGGTCTGTTTCTTAGACACCAAAAGCACCGACCATTGTGAGGCATGATTGGATGTGGCAAGCTGCACATCCACACTGCGGCAGAAATTGCCCGCAAACAGATGCTGGACTGCCCTCAGATGGCTGCCGTGGAAATGTTTGCATCTCTGGGCAGCTACGGGAAGCATGCTGGGCACGAAGAAAGGGACCTGCACAGGTGGTTAGGAGGCCTTTTCAACATTGGCTTGGAAGTCTATTGGACCACTGTCAAACTACAGGTTGGGCTGAAACACTTGTCAGCTCTGCGTCGTGCGTTGCAGATAGTGAGCTTGCGCCTGCCCTGTGGAGGTTTCAACAGCGATGAAGCCAACAAATGTTCGCATTCCGGTGCTTCTTCCTCACGAGATTCTGCACAGTCTTGCGTGCGCAGGGCCCAGACAGGCCTCTAAAGGGCCACTGCAGATTTTCATTCTTGTCATCACAAGTCGTACTGCATGGATTCGATCCCTGAAGTTTGCAGCCTCCGTGACGGGAGACCGGGGTGATCGAGCCATCGAAGAATTCTGGGAGCATTGCAAGAGCCTGGACGCATATGCTGCTCATCCTGCCCTACAGGGCGGAATACGCCTTTCAAGCTGCTCAGCTTTAAATGTAAGTGCTTGAGAACCTGCTTAGCAGTGCGCTGCGTAGATCAATATATGAGGACTTATCCCCATGACCTTCCATTGCGACGGGGCAGAGTTTTACAGCAACTGCGAGTTTTTGGTGTGGTCGTGCGGCTCTCTTTTCGCAACGGGAGATGCCAGCTGCCTGCAGCAAGCGTGCACCGTGTGCTGTGCTTCTTCGTTTTGCCCTGAGGGCAACCTGTGTATAAGGTGTTCGACGTCAAATTCCCTTGTGTGATCATTCCCCACGAATGGATACCGAAATCTGCCGCTTGGCTGCACGTGGCTTCCTGCTGTCTGAGTGAAACATCATCTTTGACGCTGGGACGCGAGGTCTCTCAGGAAGTTCACCGCCACGTGGCGAAGCTGATGTCATGGTCAATGGAGTGCGCTCTGCAGGGCAAGGGCCCCCACGCGGGCTTCCACGGCGAGCAGTTTGAGGAAAACAGCTTGCGCCAGAGGCTCGCAGGAGCCACCCTTGCCAAGAACTGGAGGCGCGCTGTGCCCTGCTCATCATCCTTTATGAACGCACGCCGTCAGCATGCAGCAAAATAGGCTGTGGCAACACGTGCTTGTGTGGTGTTCTACGTGGCAGGGCCGCCTATTTCTGCATGAAGTATGATCTCAAGGCACGGGTGCAGTGCAACTTCTTCAGCAGAAATTACAACGCGAACCTCGTTTGCGAAAGCTGCTTTGCCTGCAAACCAGCTAAAACCACAGACCCTCTGCTGAACTATCGCGATTTCACATTGTCTGCTGGCCATCGCCTAAGCCGCATCAGCCATCGCACCTATGTGGCAATGACGCCGCCAAGTGAGCTTTCACCATGGGTGTGCATGCCTGGGTGGTCCCTCGAGTCGTGCTCCCGCGATCCCATGCATTCAATCTACCTGGGCGTTTGCAGGGACCTTGTTGGTTCGTTGCTAGCAGACTGGATCGATGCTGGACTGCTGCCTCCAGCTCCCACTGTGTCTGACCAGCTTCGAGCTTTCTCACTTGAAATGCACGCAGTGTGCAAAAGAGAGAAGCGGCCTGGCAGCAGATACGATGCCTTTGTGAACACGAGTCATATCTGTTAGCATTTTCCCGCGCCGGATTCCAAGGATTTCCTTTCGAAAAAAGTTTTTGCACAGTCGCGAACTGCAACCTCTGCAAGCCAGATTTCCCGGAGCTGTCCACAACATGGAAAGCCGCTGAGATCAAAATCGTTGTGTACTTCCTCGCTTCCAAGGCCGTTGAATACAATGCAAACACTGGCGCCGCCCGATCAAAGTTTCATGTGTGCTTCCTAGGTCATCTGCCGAAACAGCAGAGCTCATGTTGTTCAGTGCTGAGGATCCGATTCTCAGGGCAGGGACTGCATGTGTGTGGTCCTTGAACGAAGCCATCAGCATTTTGGACCAGAGCGACATCATTTTGGAAAAGCAAGACGCTGATCGGTTTTCGGTGCTCCTTCGAGAATCTTTGATTTGCTGGCAGTATCTCGCAGCCAAGTTCCTTGAGGCCAACAAGCGCAGATGGCACTTGCGCCCAAAGCACCATGTTCTAGATCATTTTGCAGACGAGGTGGCAGAGACACAGATCAATCCTCGCCTTTCTTGCTCTTGCTTTCAAGAAGAAAGCTACCTAGGACATTTGAAACGCATTGCGACGAAGTGCTCATCCCTGACAGTCCTAGAAAGGACATTCCAGCGGTTGTTGCTCTTCTTGAGTTTGCGTTGGCAACGTGCTCGTGACTGGGAGCAACAGCTCTTGCAGCCGGAGGCAGTGGGGTCAAGCTTCCAAGACGCGTTTAGGCGTGCGCTCGATGAAAAACATGAGAGCCACATTGTTTTAAGAACAAGTCCTTGTGCTTGGGACCTTGTGCCCTGCAGGATGGAGTAAACCTGAAAGTAAAGCCCTGAACACTATATGAACCCTAAACCTTAAACCCTGAACGTCCCTAAGCCCTTTCAACCCTAAACCCTACTCAAGGTGTTCCTCAAGCCAGCAACGTGGCTTACAAATATATAAAGTAAATGAATCAAGGCGTTGTGTCCTTTTGCCTTCCCGACCAAGAAATTGCAAGGCTGGATGCTATGTAAACTTGAAACAAAGTTGAGTAGCTTTACATATCCTTTAGCTGGACGATGTCTCCTTTACATTGCCATTGCACCAGATGGATCAGCCAGCGTTTGCAAACGAAAGCGTGCCCGCTGTTGTATGCAAAAACAGCACAATGAAGATTGAGCAGTTTTCTTATATCCTTCATCCTTTATCAGAATTTTTTTTTACATTGCCATTGCCATTGCACCAAATATGTCAGACAGCGTTTGTGCACGGCGGCTGCTAAAACCAAACGAAGGCGTGCCCGCTGTTGTGTGTAAATAACAGTATACTTGAGCTTTTTTTTACTTGAGAAGTATTCTTCTTTTTTACATTGCCATTGCACCAGATAAGTCAGCCAGCGTTTGTGCACGGCGGCTGCTAAAAACAAATGAAGGCGTGCCCGCAGTTGTATGTAAAGAAGAGAAAAATGAAAACGGTTTATACTTCTACATATCCTTTAGAGAAGCATTTCTCCTCTTTACATTGCCATAGCACCAGATAGGTCAGCCAGCGTTTGTGCACGGCGGCTGCTAGAAACAAACGAAGGCGTGCCCGCTGTGGTGTGTAAGTAACGTTCAGTATATAATGAACACTGAACCGTTGTACACTTATATCCTTTAGAGCAATTTTTTTACATTGCCATTGCCGTTACGCCAGATAGATCAGCCAGCATTCGTGCATGGTGGCTGCTAGAAACACACGAAGGCGTGCCCGCTGTTGTGTGCATTATAATCAAAACTGAGCCGTTTTATACTTATATCCTACAGAGAATGGATTTTCCTTTTTTACATTGCCATTGCACCAGATAGGTCAGCCGGCGTTTGTGCACGGCGGCTGCTAAAACAAACGAAGGCGTGCCCGCTGTTGTAGGTAAAAAACAGCATTAATTATGAAACTTCAGCAGTTTTTTGTAATTATACACTTTAAAAACATTCTTCTTGTAGTACATGACCATTGCGCCAGATAGGCCAGCAAGCGTTTGCGCACGGCGGCTGCCGTAAACAAAGGAAGGCGTGCCCGCTGTTGTACGTACAAACAGTTTAGTGAAAATTCAGCCGTTGTATACTCGTTTCCTTTCATTTGTTATATTGCCATTGCACCAGATAGGTCAGACAGCGTTTGTGCACGGCGGCTGCTAAAAACAAGCGAAGGCGTGCCCGCTGTTGTATGCAGTATATAATGAAAACTGAGTATGCTATAGAGAAGTATTTTTCTTTTTTTACATTGCCATTGCACTAGATAGGTCAGCCAGCGTTTGTGCACGGCGGCTGCTAAAACCAAACGAAGGCGTGCCCGCTGTTGTATGCAGTACAATGAAACCTAACCCAGTTTATACTTATAGAGAAGTTTTTTCTTTCTTCTGTACATTTGCCATTGCGCAAGATAAGTCAGCCAGCGCTTGTGCACGGCGGCTGCCAAAAAAAAAAGAAAGGCGTGCCCGCTGTTGTGTGCAAAAAACAGCTTATAATGAAAATTGCATGGCCGTTGTATACTTATATCCTGCACGTCGATCTCCGCGTCGATCGTCGCCGTCGCTGACGCCGCCGCCGCCGTCGCCCTCGCCGTCGCGTCCCGCCCTCGCCGTCGCTGTCGCCGCCGCCGCCGTCGCCGTCGCCGTCGCCGGCACCGACGCCGGCCGCCTCCGCGTCGCCGTCCGCCGTCGCCGTCGCCGCCGCCGCCGCCGCTGCCGTCGCCGACGCCGACGCCGCCGCCCGCCGCCGCCGTCGCCGTCGCCGCCGCCGCCGCCGTTGCCGTCGCCGACGCCGTCGCCGCCGCCGCCATCGCCGTCGCCGTCACCGCCGCCGCCGTCGCATAGGTGCATATATATAGGAAACTCTTATACCTGACGCCTTTATGGACACATACGTACCTTTCGTACGACTTACGCAAGCTTCCGTATACATACGCCAGCTGGCGTATACAAACGAAGGGGACACGGCAGGTCAGCTTCCGTGTGCGCCCACGGCTGTCCTTTGCGTAGCTGTGGGCCCTAACGGCATGCTGGAGGTGGCCGACGCCATGGACAAGGCGGCACGTAGGTGTCGCGAGGCTAACCTCACGATCCCGGACGAGATCATGATCTATTTCTTCTTCGAGCACACCCAGTCGTCCACCGAGAGACAGGCAAATTTGTTGCTGCGCACGGGCGGCGAGTACAACTGGAAGAAGATGAAGGCGGCGGTGGAGCTGCTGTACCAGAATGTGAATGTCAGGACCAACGCTGCTGGAGGTCGTGATGTGCGAGATCGTGGTGGCCGTGGAGGTCGTGCTGCTCACGAAGCTCATATCCAACAGAGCCCAATTTCGCATGACTACGCAGACCTTTGGAAGTTGCCCGGCAACGAGGCGACAGAGGAGCAAGTTGAGAACTGGATCTACGACTTGGATCCGGTGGAGCAGTTGGCGTCAGCAGAGCTAGAGGAGATCCCGGAGGACCTCGCGAGGGAACTCCACCTTTGTTTCGCCACTCACAGGGAGAATCGCCAGAAGCTGGCGCGGGCAGTGCAAGCTCGCGGCTTCTACGTCGGGCAGAAGGGCAAAGGCAAGGGCAAGTCCAAGTACGATTCCAAGGGCAAGTCCAAAGACGGCAAGGGCAAGAAAGGAGGCGGCGGCAAGGCTCGTGGCATGTCCCTTGAGGAGCTCAAGAGCAAGACGCAGTGCGCCGACTGCGGGCAACGTGGTCATTGGCGGGGAGATCCTCAATGCAAGGGTGCCAGGAGCAACAACGCCGTGCAGCGGGACGGCCTGGACGATGACGATGAGGCCCAGGACTGGTACGAGGACTACGACCGTGACGTCGAGTACCCATCTTGGGCTGCTGAGCGCTATGGCTATGAGGCGCATCGCTCGTCCTATGTGTCGGCGCGCAGAGAGCCAGGCGACGACCGGGACAGGCGGGCTGAAGCAGAGGCGGCGGCGCGGGGTGTTGACCGCGTGCGCCGCAAGGCCGAGCCAAGCGCGCCTGCCGTGAACGCGGACCAGGTCAAGGCCCAGCTCACCTCTGACACTTTCCTGGACGCTGAGGCGGTGAAGAGCAGGATTCAGTCCATGCACCGGCCGCACATGACCCCGAGTCAGGCCCCCGAGTTGGTGGCTGAAGCTTTTCGACACTTTGGTCTGGAGCCAGTGCCATCTGGAAGGAAAGGCGTGCGAGAATTGTTGGACGAAGACACACCGGGCCCAGACATCGAGTCGCTTCGGCGCGCCCTAGTTACCCGGCGGGCCGACTTCAGCTTGGAGCGGGCAGTTTGCAGCAGTTCACGCAGGCCACCGACTGTGGAGCCCAACCGGCTCTATCTGACGTTGGACACAGCTTGCGAGAACACGGTGGCCGGGGTGACTTTGTTGCGGAGCTACGCCAAGCAGCTGGAAACGAACTACGGCGTCCATGTGAAGATTGAGGCCGAGTCGGAGCACTACTGCTTTGGGCCGGGGCCGCCATTGCCGTCGAAGGAGAGATGGTCTTTTCCGCTTGGTATCGGTGGGGAACAGGCCGTGATACACACCTCGGCGGTGGAAGACACGCACAGCCCGAAGGTGCCCTTTCTGGCAGGACAAGACTGGATGAAGTTCATGGACGCTTGTTTTGGACATTGGTCGTGACCGAGCTCTGCTACGAGAAATCGGGATCGAGGTGCCCCTCTTCGTAGACACGACAGGGCACTTAGTGATCGCGATCGACGAGTTTCCTGCAGGAGGATGGGCAGCCGGGTTGAAGCCCCAGAAAGAGGGCTACGCAGGTGCCACCTTTGGCGCCTCGGATGTCGCAGCAACGGCATTCGCCGCAAGAAAAGAGACAGTCTTGCCCGACGTTTCGCAAGTTGCCTGCGGAACCACACACTTCTACGTGCCCTGCAAGCCCAAAAACTCCGCTAGACTCACTACTTCTCCTACTTCCTGTACGGTGCCTAATGACTATTGGGAGTTCAAGTATGACACTCGGATCTTCGTTCGACACCATTGCAGGCCACGAGTGGCGCTCTTCGAGCCGCAAGACGCGATCGATGGGCCGGACCCCGAGAGCCTGCAGCCATTAAGGGTGACGGTTTGCTCAGCGTTGCCTGTGCCTCTGCGGGACGAGTGGGGCGGACAGTCAGCTTCCTTGCAAGAACCCTGGATAGGCCGCACGTACTTCTTTGGGGTTGGTAGGCAGTGTGATCTTGAATGCTTTCCTCCTGCTGAACAACACGTGGTTGTCACATTGGCTGACGGACAGTCTGTGAAGGCATTGCCCTCCGAGATCCTCAACCCCCAAGTTAAGAAGATACATCATGTAGATGTTTCAGCAGCAAAGCCACCAGGGATCCCTCCGTCCAGACGCAAGGGCACCTATCGCATCCCACAAGGTGAAAGCATTCCTACGCAGCACTCCGGCTTTAGGCCCCTTCAGAAGCCTGCGCAGAAGACCCTTGGCGATGCAACACCGCATGCGCCCGGGGAAGGCAACCTCGAGCACCGACGGGGCGAAGAAGACGCACCTTCAGGGGCTATGGTTCGGCGTGGTGACTGAGCATGTTCGACGTGATGGTCAGGTGGGAGCATTTCAACAAGAAGGTCATGGATATGAAGTACCGCTCTCCGGCTCTCATGGGCTACGTGCAGGCCATCGTGCAGGAGGAAAGCTCGTTGAAGACGATCCCGGCTACTTTGATTCCACCAGCAGTGAGGAATCAGAAGCCGGCGGGGCAGCCAGCGCCTGTCCAGTATCCGACGCCCCGCGAGAAGTGCCGACATCCGCCCCACATGGGCCGCAAGACGGGGAATACCCATGGCCGTTTCCTGGAGTGTGCTCAGTGCGGCACAGTGTGGAAAGGGGTGCAGTACCGCATCCCGGTCGCAGGGACATGGTGACGGCGTATCCGCGACTTTGGGGCCACAGAGACATTCCGGGAGGCAAGATCGTCAAGGGCAAGGAGGCGTTAGACTCCGTGCGCCAGGACGAGGCGTCTTCCGCAAGTTTGTCCACTTGCTACTCTTGCTCGCAGGGCTGCATGGTGGAGGGCTCCAAGGGCGACAATAATAATAAGGCCAACAAGGCCAAGGCGGCTGGTCGTTCGACAGCCACGAGCTCGAAGAACATTGCACCGACGCCGTCTTCCGCGCCTATTCCGATGACATCGCGGGCCAGCACTGCAGTCTACTCCGACCTCCCGACCTACGACCACGAGCAGGCCGTCAAGTACATGGCGCCGACGCCCGTGAAGGGGGCGGTCAGTTTCGGGGAGGTGCTGGCGTGGAATACGGACGAGGACATGGAGGAGAACTCGGAGGAGGAAGCAGCGGAACAGTCGACGTCGGAGGAGGAGCTTTGAAGCGTGGCCAAGTGAAACGAATGATGTCTCGAGCCCGACAAGCCTTGGCAGGAGCTCGCATGCACAGGAGTCTGGTTGAAGACAGACTCCAAAAGGCCCGATGGCCTCGCAAGCGATTCGGGTGCGATCTCCTGGAAGTGTTCGGTGGAACTTCTATGATTTCGGTACGAGCCACGGCCCATTGGGGCATGAGGGTCCTTCAACCCATCGACATTCGGTGTGGCTGCGACCTGAAGAAGCCCAAAGAGCGCCAGTGGCTGCTCCGTGTGCTGGATCGACTGGATCCTCGTCTGGTGGTGGTCGCAATCCCCTGTACGGCATGGTCGGTTTCACAAGCCGACGAAGAACTGGCCTTGCGCCGAGAATATGTACAGCCTTTTGCGAAGCTTGCTGACGATGTGTTCCGGAGCCAACGACGGCGAGGAGGACATGCCGTCGCCGAGAGCCCCGCAACATCCCATGGTTTCCAGAAGGCCGAGTACCAGCTGCGCCAGGACTTGTATGAGACCGCGTCGTGTGTGTCCATGCCCCAGCTGACCGACAAGAATGGACGTCTGGGGCAGAAGCGACTTCGGTTCGTGGCCACGCACCCGTGTTTTACTTGGGCGCTGGACCGACAATGCGCAACGACGGTGGCGTATCCGCCGGCCTTGGCAGACGCTATCTGCCAAGCCTACTGGGAAGTCGTGGCGCAGGAGGACTATGGCTTCGCGACGACGTGGGAAGCCGTGAGGGCCGTGCACTATGTGGACGTCAAACGAGATGAAGCCAGGTGGCGGGACATGCTGACTCAAGCTCAGGAGCTGCTGGGTCGTAAGAACCAGGCAAGTCTCCTCATTCCACCCGGCACGGACTTCCACAGCAAAATCGAGCGACTGGTGCCTTGGCAAATCCTCTCTGTGCAGATCGCTCACCTCCCTAAGGCAAAGCGGGTGAAGGCTGGCTTAGAGGAGTCACATCGTGCCTCCGTTCTGCTCCTGAACGATGACAGTGTGCAGATTGAGACAGAGTACATCCGCGAATGCCAAGCACCGCGTGAGCGATTTGTGACTCCCGTCCGCTACGCCATTTTCGTCCTCGGACATGCCCCTGGGGAACCTTCCGGCCCAGCATCAGCGAGGAAAAGGAGAAGGCAATTGCGCGGTCGCTGGTGAGGGCACACAGGAATCTGGGGCATCCACGGGCGGAAGATTTCACCCGGGCACTTGCCCAAAACTACCGGGTGTCACCTGAGGCAATTTCACTCAGTCGACGCCTGCGGTGTGCCACCTGTGAGAGGACCAAAAGACCACATCCTCCAAGGCCTTAAGGAGCCATCATATAAGAGGATTGTCGAGTCATATAAAACGATTGTCAAAAAACTCATTTCCAAAAGCATTTTTATTGCGCGGGCCCCCTTAAAAGGGCTGTTGGCCAGCTTGCTGGCCGGCAGCTTAATGTAACTCACTTGACAAAAGTAGGTAGAAGCTTAACCTGTCTGTGCAGCCTGAGCCCTGAGGGGAGGTATGAGCCACTGAGCCACAGCAGCATCATTGCAGAATGAGCTGCAGCATGTCTGAGCTTCTCGAACCAGTGATTTGCTAGTTTCAGAACCAGCGAAATCAGTCTTCTATGTGTATCCCAGCCATTCAACCTAATTTTAATGCTTTTCAGAGAGCGCTAGCAACACTAATTAAATTATCTTGTCCCGCTGTGTGTTTTGATGGACACCCCGGTGTCATTGCCTCGGGATGTCAGCAGCGGGAGCGATCCTGGTGACGTGTCCCTGCCTGATGATGTGACGAGCAACGCAGGGGATTCTCCGGGTCTGCTTGATGAGAATGTCGAGCTGCCTCCTGAAGAGGGAAGTTTGCAGACCAAGTGTCGCTGCAAGCGTGGTTGTGTTGCGTTGCTGCCACCAGGTGTGCTGGAACAGCAGCGCTTTCGAATGGAAGGCCTTGATCGAGTTCGGCGACATGCTCAGGTCTTTGCATCTCTGAGAGATGACGCCAGCCGAGCACCAGATGGCTCAATCACAACTGTCTGCTATAAGGTGAATGGCCACACTGTCTGCCGTGGTCTGTGGCAGTACGTAAACATGGTGACCCCTCAGACTGTTGATGCCTTTCGCAAAAGCATCCTGGCTGGAGAGGTGACTGCACCAGTGCGAGGCCCATGTTTGCGAGTCAAAGACAAGCAGCAGTTTTGGCGAGTTGATGCCTGGTTTCTGGAGCTGTACACATCTTTGGGAGAGCCCAAGCCAACTGAATCCCCTGGTGACCATCAGACTGACACAGAGCATGAAGTTGTTCATTCCGATCACCCTCTCTGGGCTTTGAGTGTTGCGTCGGGGCCAGACTGCCGTGTTGTCGCCAAGAGGAACCTGAACCCTCAAACTTTGAGAGCCCTCTACGCCTTCTACACACAGGACGCTGGCAACGAGGAGTTGGTAAGTGAGAGCACCTTCAGTCGCTGTTGGCGTGAACGCTGGAAGAAATTTCTGGAAATGAAGAATGAAGGCACAGGGCAGCGATGCAAAGTCTGTGCCAAATTTGATGAAGCGATGAACCAGGCAAGCTGCAAGGATGAGTTTCTCGACCTTTCCAAGCAGAAAGCAGTGCATGTGCGTCAATCGATGGCTGACAGAAATGTCAATGTGCGGGGCAATGTTTTGGCCACCAGAGCAGCGCAGCAAGCACGTGCCACTGGTATGCCCTCGACAACTTCCTTTATGAAAATGCAGATCGACGGGATGGATCAAGCCAAATTCCGTTGTCCAAGACCTCAGGGGACCTTGAAAGGTTCGGCCTATGAGCTGTGGAGACCACAGCTGCACCTCACAGGCTGCACATGCTTCGGACATTTTGATGCATTTTTCTTGCTTGGGCACGATCAACCCAAGGATAGTAACATGCAATCCACAGTCCTTGCCCGGGCACTGGACCTGCTTACTGCCCGTGTGGGACTGCAAGGGTTTCCGAGGGCCCTGATACTTTCTGTTGACAATACGCCGAGAGAAAGCAAGAACACCTTTTTTGCGCAGTTTGCAGCAGCGTTGCTGCTTTTGCGCTGCTTCGATTCAGTAGAAGTTCAATATTTACAAGCTGGCCACACAAAGAATGAACTGGACCAGAGGTTTTCATCTGTTGCCCGAGTTCTAAATGACGCCGGTGCTTTGGAGGATGATGAGGAGTTTTTGCAGTACATGCAAACACATGTCAGGCCGTTTGAAGGAAGAGAGGTCATTTGTGAGAAGATGTCTGGCGCACGGGACTTCCAGGCATGGTTTGAGATTGCCAATATGCATGTGCAGGGCCTGACATCGACAAAGGGGCTACCAGAAGCAAACCATTTGTGGCGGTTTGTGAGACGTGAAGATCACCCGTTGCCAGATGAGATTGAGTGCCATCATCCAGACTGGCAGTCTTTGCCCTCAAACCCTGATGATGTTATTCTTTGTTTGAAGCAGTTCATTTCCAGCCCTGACCAGTCGCAACCCCCGCAGCTTTTCATGCCAGCCAGTGCTGCAGAGCAGCTCACGAAACAAACTTTGCAGCCAGCACTCCGGAGGCCTTTGAGTGATGAACAGGTGAAAGAGTTCCAAAAAACTGCGACGTTCGTGGGCAAGCATCCTTGGAATTTGTTTAAAGGCGAAGCCTTCCTGAGGAAGCTTTGTGCTGAAAACCAAGCAGGCATCAGCGGGACCCCCCCCGTTTTGCAAGCACTGTTTCAGTCTCGTTGCGCGGTTGATCAAGAAACTGCCCCAATTGTGGCCCAACCCTGTGCACGAGCAGCAGCTCCGCGGCCAGTTCGTGTGAGGAGGGTCTTGAAGCGGCCCGCTGCTGCAAAAGCTGCCGCTCCGCGTGCCAAAGCCAAGGTGCGGCTGAGGCCTGCTGCACAGCTGGATGCGCAGTGAAATGAAGTGCATGCTGATCTGCTTTGGGTGTCCTTGCCATGCTGGGCAATCAACACTGCCAAACTGCCACGTTGAGACATGATATGTCATGCCTGTTTTGGGTTCTAACCAGCTGCCAGACTGTATTTTCTCATTTACCGTAGGTGCATCAAGCACAATGCTTGCTGGAGTCTCTCTGACAACAGCTAGACGATGTCTACGTTTGCTCCTTGTCTTTGCGGCCTGGCGCAACCATGTGGCCTTGGATCTCCCACGAGACATGCCGGCAGTCTTCCTGCTGGTACTGACAGATGTTAAGTGGTTCTCCGACAAAGTCACCCAGTATCTGTGTCTCCGAGATTCGCTGGCCCTGCTTCATGTCAGCAAAAGGATGCACCTTTCCAACCGAGACTCCTACTGAGAAGCTGACGGCTGCATTGTCTCGTCGCTCTATAGAAACAGAAACACTGACAGCCAGCTTGCTGGCAGCCAGATCTAAGACAGTTTTTTTTGCGTGCCTGCAGGGCAGTTGGTATTGCATGCGAAGCTGTGTGTTGTTGTGAGTGCAGTTTGCAGCTGACAGAAGTTACTTGCAGTCTGTGTGGTTGCATTCCCTGAGGCAGTGTTCAGCGTTTTGCTCCTGGGTCTCTTCTTGTTTCACCCTTGCCCAGCTCTCTGCCCATGGCGTGCTCCCAAGAGTCCCACGCACATCGTGAGGAAGACGAACTCTCCTTGCCAGATGATGTTGGTTCAGAAGCAGAAACCCAGGCAGATGTTCTCCAGGGGTTCTTTGCAAATGTTTGTTCAAATGTTTGCCCTAGGCCCTAAACCTGTACAGCCTACAGTTTTGTGGTGTTAGGCTTTAGGGCTTAGGGTTTAGGGATTTTCATTTGTGGTGAATATATTCAGATCCCATGCCCAGGTGTTGCCTGCTGCTGCGGTAGCCGCGGGGCAAACAGGCTTCACAACTCCACAGCAAGAGCCGCCGCTTGACTCGGACGGTGAGGTGATCGGTTCGCCCAAGGCTGCCAGTCCGCTTTGTGAGGGCTCACAGCCTTTGAAAAGGCTGTGTGCCAGCTCCCACTTGGGTTCGCCTCGGCCGCCTCTCGCCGAGAAGAAGAAGGCAAAGGCTAAGGCTAAGGCGCCGAAGAAGGTTCCCGCAAGCAGCGTCAAAGCCAAGAAGCGTCCTGCCGCAGCGAAAGGCCCGAAAGGCCCCAACACTGGACCCTCCGACCCTGAGAAGCCTCTCTCGAAGGCTCGCGTGGCCTCTGCCAGTGTGCCAAAGCGGTCCTACGTGCAGGCAAAGTCCAGCCCAGGCGGCCGCTTCCGCCTCATCATCGAGTTCCCCGAGAGGAAGTATGCCAACCACCGCGAGCTGGCCATCCATGTGCGTGACAAGATAGAGAGTGAGCAGCTGACCTACACTGCTGCTCGTGCTTTGAAGGATAGCATGAGGGCGTAGTTTTGCTTCAGAGCCAGTGAAAGCTTTCATGTCTGCCGGCTGCTGCAGTGGCCGTCACAGTCACAGCAGCGTTTCGGGTCACCTGTTGCCAGAGGCAGCGTTTTGTGTGAAGGCCTTCCTGAAAGTCTTTTGAAACGGCGCTGTGAGCAGAGCGAAGAGACGAGCAGTAACAGTCACAGACTGCTTCATGGAGGCCAGCTTGCTGGCCACCAGGATGAAAGTCAGTCAGGGGCAGTCATCATTGCAATTGGTCTTCCTGCTTATGATACAACTTGCTTGTGGGCAGTGTTTTTCTCAGTGAAGTTAGTTTTTGTTCCCAGGTGCCTGCTGCTCCCGGGTCCCTCATGACAGACTCCATGAGCATATCGTTGCCCTCTTCTGTGTGCAGTGAGCAGTGCTGCAGCCCTGTTTCTGCTGCGGATGATAGTCGTGCACAGACAGATGTGGACCTGCAGCGTCCTGGAAGCACCGCTCTGACTGTCGCAGAGGTGGAACTTCCACCTGATGTCTCAGGCGATGAGGGGGCTGATTCTGATGTGCTGGAAGACTGCTGTGAGAGTGACAGTGACGCTCCTTGCCTCTTGGATGAGGGTGAGTTGGACTCAGACCCAGAGTGTGCTGACCCACCTGTCAATGTGGATCGTCCTCAAGAAGGACAGCGTGTCAAAGTTCCCTCACCAGCAGTTGCCAGTGACTTGAACCCGAAGGTTGATGGATACCAAGACATAGCAGAAGTGTACTCCCCAGCGCGCACGCTCCCACTTGCTTGGCAACTGGGCCTTTGTGGAAACCTCTCCCTTGACCTCGCCACGGGCTGGGACTTTCGCGATCCACGCAACCGCCAGCTAGTCTTGGAACTCCTGGGCAGACTGCAGATTCTTTTCTGCATTGTGTGCCCGCCATGCAGAGCCTTCAGCGAGCTTCAAAGACTCTGGAATTTCCGGAGGCTCCCTGTGGAGAGAGTTCGTGCCATCATGGATGAAGGGCTTGAGTACTTGAGCCATGCCATGCAGATAGCCGAAGCCCAGGTGAGTGCTGGGAGGTTCTTTGTGTTTGAACATCCTTACCGGGCGTCCAGCTGGGCCACTCCTGTTGTCCAACGTGTTCTTGCACTTCCAAAGGTAGGTGTCGTGACAATCGACCTTTGTTACTTTGGGCTGGTTTCGAAGGTCCACCAAAAGCCCGTTAGAAAGAGAACAAAGATCATGACAAACAGTCCTTACTTGATGCAGGAGCTGAAAGGCTGTATGTGTCCTCGCACTCATGAGCACCAAGTGCTTCAAGGTGCCGAAGGTGGGGTTTCCCGCACTGCTTGGGCACAAATCTACCCACCTCAATTTTGTAGGGTGCTGGCAGCTGCCGCGAAAAAACACGCGGATGATGCTGTGCAGCCGTGAAAAGTCGGACAGAGTTGGACAGCTAACAGCCTTCCTTGTCAAGCTTGAAGCCCGGAGAAGCGCAGGGAGTCAGGCCAAAAACAAGTTGTGGTCTCTGCTGCAGCAGTTTGTGAGTGTGGGTGCAGTTCGTCAGGGCTTCGGGTTCCGTGACTAGGCCAGGGCGGCTCCAACCCCACAAAATCAGGGTTTAGGGTGTAGGGTTTAGGTTTAGGGTTTAAAGTTAGGGTTTAGGGTTTAGGCTTTATTTTAATGGGCTTAGGAATTAATTAAAGGGTTTAGGAGCCTAGGGTTTAAATTTTTTTTCTGTCGAGGCTTACAATCCAGCGCAACGGGGGGGGGCCGATTTGAGGGGCGGAGAAGTGCTGATTTCAAATGAAACCGGCGCAAAGTCGGGGTCTGGGGGGGGGCCGGCGCAACGGGGGGGTCAAAAAACAGAGGGTGGGTTGTGCTGGGGGGCCACACACTCAAACGCCCTGTGCTGGTTTCAGATGAAACCAGCGGAACGGGGGGGGTGGGAATCAGACCCTTGAGTTGTGCTGAAAAAAAATCCAGCGCGTCGCTTCTGGAAGCAGCACGTGCCAGCTGCAAGTCTTCAGTGGCCCAGGGTCTTTGTGCTTGGCTCAGTGCTAAAGTTTCTGTCTGTGCTTGAGGAAACCCAAACTCTAAGTCTGCTCGTCATGGCTTCTCCTGAGGACGCAGTGGCGCCAGTGACCCCGTCAACGTTGCCTTGCCCGGTAGATGCAGATGTGTCTATAGAGGCCCCTGATGAGGACAAGTTTGTCCAGGTGATGTTGGGCGACTTGACTGATGTCTTTCAGAAGTTTGGTGGACCGGCCCAGTACTTGCAGCAGAAACTTGTGACAGAGAAAGACAGGACAGCCTTCAGGAACTACCTGCAGCAGCTGCTGCCTGAGCGGGACGACTGGCTCTACGTGGAAGACGCTGACCTTCCCAAGGTCAAGGACCATGAGATGGCCCAGCAGCTGCCCCAGACTGTGCACATCGCCAGCCTGGGCTTCGACAGTGCTTGCAGCTTGAAGCCCAGCCCGGGACTGAGTGTGGCGAACCAGTTGCTTGAGCACTACTTGAGGGACGGCTTTGTTACCGCCTCAGAGCCTTTGCTCATCACACAGGATGTCCAGTTTCCCGCTGGCCTCAACCCTCCGCTGCATGCTCACACGGGCCTGAAGTGCTTCAGCTTGGGCTATGTCAAAGGCATGGCCCGTGCAACTACAGCCTTGGCTTTGCTCCACCGTGCTTGGGTGCAGTCCTGGGACTTGCAGTCCTGCCACAAGAAGCTCTGGGAGTCCCTGCAGGTTGTGCATGTGCACCACCTGGAGACAGGAAGCAAGGTGGAAGAGGGCTTGAAAAACATGCAGTACTCTGCGCGTGGCAGCGTGCGCAAGGCCAACAGCGTGATACAGATTGTCAAGATGATCCAGGCCTTGCTGCAGCATGGCATGCAGGACTTCTCGGTTTTCGTGCGGCAGTGGAACGCGATGGCCCCCTCCAGCCATCGCCTGGTGGGTAAGAAAGCCCAGGCGTTGAAGCTTCTGTTTGACTCGGCCCCGCAGGCCGGTTTTTTTGTCAGCTTAGGATTGAGCTTTAAAACTTTAAAGTGTTGTGAGAGTCTTGATTGACTTGATATGCCCAGGGCTTCGAGCGTTCTTCCATTCTTCTGATTCCTCTAGTGCTGCCTGTCAATGTCATTTAAGCACTGTATTCACCAAATTTGCGTAGGTTGTCTTGGACCTCGTGGTGCAGCACGTCGGGCGCTGTGGTTGGGAACTGTGCGCTTGGTCAGACGACAGCCTAGCCAGCAAGAAACTGTACCCTGGCCACCAGTTTCCTGCGAAGACGAAGGTTTGGCTCGCCCGCTTGAAAGTCTCTGACGAGAGCATGCTGCTGTTCGGCCAGCGCGTGCATTCGTCGCACGACAAGAAGCCCGACTACTTGCGGAAGGTGAAGGACGACCAGGCAGCCATGGAAGCCTTGGCTGAGCGTGCAGCCTTCATCTGGCACTGTGGCCAGGAGTTCCTCCAGCATGTCCCAGTGAAGGCTGCTGACATCCAGCTTTTCTTCTACGACGCTTGGGTGGCGGGCCACAGTGTCCTTGAAACAGAGGCCCAGGCCGCACTGCTGGACAAGTCCCCAGCCTTTGAGGTGACGAAGCATCTCTCGGCGCTGCGTGGGCTCATGGACTCCCACATGTTCTCTGCGCCGATCGCTACCTTGAGCGAGCCTGACAAAGAAGCCTTGGACATTGACGCCTGGAAGCTGCAGGAGAAGCAGATGAAGTACGACATGACTGTCTACGCGAACTGGACGAAGAAGACCAGTGACGCAGAGACTGCCCGGGAAACAGCTAGGCAAGAGTGGCGACTTAATCGCCGTGAGAAGTGCCAGGCAGCCACCTCCAACTTCATGGAGACCTGCTGCAAGCTTCAGGTCTGGGATGGCAAGAAGCCTGAGCGGTCAGTCGCTGAGGCTGCCAAGTTCAAGCGAGAGCTTGCAGAGAAGTCCTGTGGAGGCTCAGACCAGGTTCCCTGCCTGGTCTACCTGAACTACACTGCCCCGTGCCTCATCTATGCTGAGCATTCTGTGGCGCACCAGCACGTGCTCACCTGGGCAATGCATGAGTCACCTCAGTCTGCTGGCATTTTGCTGGCCCCGGCCTTCACATACAACAAAGGCCGCATCCACCTTGAGGAAAAGAAGTTGCTTGAAGTCTTTACCCAGGCTCACCTCAATGTCGACACGCACTTCTCCCTGCTGTTTTCTGAGAAGCTGGACGCACGGGACTGCCGTCCCATGACGTACCCTGGGAGGCTTCTCTTCCCAGGAGCCGCAGATGTGTCGAAGTCCTTGTGGGCAGGCTGTTTGCTGAGGAAGCAGCAGAGAACGGCCCCGCAGCACTTTGTGAAGAGCCAAGACCTTCGTGAGGTCGAGAACCTGGCGGCTGACTCCCTGCCGCCCTCCACGGACCTGCGTGACAACCATGTTCATGGTGCCTCCAAAGTTGCCCAGGTCGGGCCTCAGTCCGCTGGAGCTCTCTTGGAAGCCATGCTGGATGGAGTGGACCTGTCGAAGATGAAGGGCATGTTGCTGCTGGACCTCTTCCCCCACACTGGCGACATGCTCGAGGCTTTTGCGTTGCAGCAGCGCCTGTACTCCAAGAAAGTCACGCTTGGATACATGGGCTTCTTCGACAGCCAGACGCACTTGACATGGGCAGAGACGTTTGTGAAAGACAGCCTGGTGGACAAAATCCTGGAAGGCAGCCTCAACATGCCGAACGGGGAGAAGCTGGAGAAAGAGATCAGCCCAGACTTGCTGGACAACCTGCCCCCGAAGCCCCAGCTCAATGTGTTGGTGTGGACGAAGGACAGCACTGTTTCGTTGCCAACTGCAGTCGTGAAGAAGTGGCAAGGCCACGCCGTGGTTGGGCAGCAGTTTGCCGAGTTCCTGGAGGACTTCACCAACAAGGGGTTCACTGTGGCAGACCCATGCCAAGAGTCCAGCGAGGACAAAGAGGAGCCAAGCAAGCGTACTGCCCCTGGGGGGGACGAAACTGGCAGCACGACCAGGTCTCCGAAGAGGGTCAAGTGCATGGACTTGACTACTCGTCTTGTCCAGGCGAATGCTGTGAGTGAGGCGTTGCTTTTCGAAGCAAGTCTGGCTGGCAAGAATCCAGCAGTCCTGCAGATCCGGGCCAACCACACTGTGTACCTGCACAACAAGACTGAGACAGAGTACTCGAGTCCAGACAAGGGCTTCCTCACGAGCTTCGGTAAAGGCCAGTTCAAGCTCGTGAAGGCCGGGGACAACCAGGCCACAGGCTACACCTTCAACCTGACAGGATCCGAGGACTTGGTAGTCAGCAATGGACAGGTCTGCACTGTGGGGGAGCTCGTCCAGACCATGCGTGAGAAGAAGCCAGACTGCCAGGTCTGCTACCACAACTTGACGACTGACCCGCAGAACCCCAAGAAGTTCAGCCTCCAGCAGACCCACTGCGTCGCCTTCCAGCCCAAGGCCCTTGAGGAGAAGGACAAGCTGGACCAGAACAACCTGGGCACGAAGGAGCCGTGGACGACGTGGCAGGGATCTGATGCAATGAATTTGCTGTGGGCTGTGCGATGGGTTACGAAGGGACTGACACCAGTCAAGCCAGTGGTCCACTTGAAAGAGAGAGTGGTCCTCAAAGCAGGCGAAGTCTGCCGCTTGTCGAAGTAACAGCTGCCGCTACAGGCGCCGGCTCTTTTGACACTGTAGTGAAGGCTGCAGGCATGTTTGCAGAAGGTGAGTGCTTTGCTTTTAGGTTGCTTTACTTTAAAACTTTCAGCCCCCGCAAAGAACGGTCATAAGTTCTTTTACTGTCTGCAGCAGCAGCAACTCATCCGAGCACATGTCCTGCAGCTTGCTAGCAGCGATTGGCTGCTGAAGATGTGTTGTCATCACACATACTAGGTCCGTGCTCTCCGCTTTGTCAGTATGGTGCTTTTCGAACGGAAAGTAAACAGTGCAGCCCCTTATTGTCCTAGGCGTCTGAGCCTGCTTACTTTCTGCTTGCTGGACAGAGCGCTTGGAGTGCAGTGGTGTTCCCAGTCACAGTCATTGACTGTGCACTGCTGGGGTAGCTGGAAGCAGCAGCAACAAGACGAGCAAATGACAGGATTCTAATGCTTCGCAGCTGTGCTAGACAAGGTGAGCACTGGAGGCCAGCTTGCTGGCCACCAGGCGAGCCTCAAGTAAATGTAGTCTGCAGTCTTGTACTGTTTCTAAACCCCAAAGCAGAATCTGCCAGCTCAGTCCTGCCAATCAGGCAATGCCACCAGTAAGCATGTTGAAGTTTCCTTTGTGCTGCTATCCCAATCCAGCTCTCAGGCCAAAACAGTAGGCAAGTATGCAGTGGCTGTGCTAGCTGCAGACCGACAGTCAGCATACAGTCACCACGCTAACTGCATACAATCACCATACCCTAGGCCTGATTCGTCACCAGGCATGAGAAAGTTTAGGCCGCGCAGTGAAAGACTCAGGCCCCTACACAAAGACTTTAGCGTTGTAGGCCTGCCTTGTAGCCATGGCAGACAGCAAGGAGCAAAAGGTGCAAGACTGGTCCCCTGTCAGCCCCGCGCCTGACGAGGAAATGTCCCCGGTCACGCCCCCCACAGTCTATCATGAAGATGATATGAAGATGGTCTGGAACGCTGGTCTGCAGGCAGGTCTGAGTCTGGCTGTCGCTGCTGCAGCCCCTAACTCTGCGGCGGTAAACTTTGCAGCCACAAGCTCTGCAGCTGCAAACTCTGCAGAGTCTGCAGCCACTGTCCCTACACCCTCTGCAGCTGCCGCGACAACTACAGGGAGCACAGAGTTTTCGAGCTCTTCGGCCTCTAGCAACCCAAACCTGAAGGGCAAACTGGTGCCAACGACAGAGGCTGAGTGGAAGCTACGCAAACTCAGAGACAAGAAGAACGCGAAGGAGAAGGTGAGGCAGGACAAGAAGAAGAAGGACAAACTTCTGCAAGGACAGAAGGAGAAGCCGGCTGGGCCTGGACCTGCTGCTTGAAAAAAAGTTCTGGCAGCCAGCTTGCTGGCAGCCAGCCTGCTGGGCTTCAGGTCTGTCTTTCTAGAGGCTTAGGATTGCGGGTTAGTTTAGGGTGCATGCAGGACAGAGGTAAAAAGCTTTAGGCTTTAAGGTTTTAAAGGGTTTAGGGTTGTGGGTGCAGTGTTTAGGCCTTTCTGGCAGCCAGCTTGCTGGCAGCCAGCCTACTGGGTTTAAGGTCTGTCTTTCTGTAGGCAGGGCTTTGGGTGCATTATTTAATTTACGGGTTTGAAAAAGGAGCTAAAAGCTACGAGGCTTAAGGCTCCAAAGGGCATAGGGTTTAGCATTCAGGGGCTGGGGTGCAGTGTACGGTTTCAAAAGGAGTTAACAGCTTAAGGGGCTTAAGGCTTCAAAGGGGTTTAGGGTGTAAGTATGGTTTGAAAGGGAGTTAAGAGCTTCAGGGCCTGAAGGCCTCCGAGGGTTAAGGTTTGATTTGGGGTGCAAAGTTTTAAGGTTTTTCCGAGCCAATAAGCTGGCAACCACAAGAGGGGGTTAGGGGACTCTTGGGCTCCAAGTATGTTTCAGGACCTGGTATTTTTGGGGTAATTCCCCCCCTTTGTTTTGCGAATAGGTGTTTGCTATTCTTTTAGTGACTTGGTGAAAATACCTTTGGAAACGAGCCTTTTCGACAATCCTTTTATATGACTCAACTATCCTCTTATATGATGGCTCGTTCCTTCCTCCTTGAAGATGACGGGGCCGTTCAACTCGAGAGTGTGTCTGGACTTCGTTCACCTGCACGACGCGGATAAGGAAGGACACTGGTTCTTGCACATCGTGGAGCCAAATGGGTCCTTCAACGTCTTCTACCCGGTGGAGAGCCGAAATCCAGAACATGTGTTCGAGACCTTCTGCAACATATGGGCTTCTTTGGCCGGTTGGCCGGACGCCATCCTGGTGGACCAGGACGGGGGCTTCGGAGCGTATTTTGCAGAACAGCTCGTTAACGTCGGCACGGAAATCGAGCACATTGCGGCGGAGGCACACTGGCAAGCAGGACAGGTCGAGACGTTCAACCGGGCGTTCCGGTACGCGGCGGCCAAGTTGATCGACGAGCACCACATTACCGGCCGACTGGGGATGAAGATGCTCGCCTCTTCTGTCGGCGCCAGCATGAACGACCGAGTTCGCACTTCTGGCTGCTCAGCAAACGAATGGGTGTTCGGGAAACACCCAAAGGTGCCAGTGGACTTGCTGTCACCGGATGGAAAGCTACAAGCTCTTCAAGGCATGGATGCCGACCAGGAGTTGAGACTGCGCCAACAAATCCGGGCCAGCGCCGACGCCAAGCTTGCCGAGTTCTCCGTGAACCAGTCGTTGAGCAAGGCAATCCTCCGTCTGGGCAGACCAACTCGTCAGAGCTATGAGCCGGGCGAATTGGTGGCCTTCTGGCGTGAAGCCAGGACCAGGAAAGATCCAAAGACAAGGAAGCTTCCGGCTGGTTGGTGCAGAGGCTCAGTCATTGGGCCCCACCGTGGAGATGAAGGCCAGTCGAACTACTGGGTCACCTCAAACGGCCGCTGTTTGTTGGTGGCCAAAGAGCAGCTGCGACCGGCCTTTGGGACAGAAGTGTGGCGCATCCAAGAAGAGGACATGCAGCAGCTGTTAGACAACCCGCCGGAGGAGTTCCTGGACATACGAGCCGAGGTCCCCGATGGAGAAGCTGGTGCACCCGGGGAAGTAATCCCTTTCTTCGACGACAACATCGAGGACGCACCTAACGAACTTCCCGGCGTAGACGCACAAGCCGCAGCAGGTGAAGGAGAGCATCGCGAAGGAGACGGACCACTACCGGAGCGATATGAACATGGCACTGGTTCCTTGTGTGGGTCTGATAGGACACAGCCGTCCCCAACGGCGCGCGAGGACCGACCTAGCGGCCTTGAAGAACCGGAAGCAAAGCGTTTCCGCTCGGAGGTCGTGGAGGTTGATACGCCAGAACCAGAGTTGGACGAAGCTGCTGAGGCTGCTCTTGAGGCCGCGCTCGGGAAGGGCGTAAACATCACCACCGTCTATGTGCCGGTTTCAGTGGAGGAGCTCTTTGCCAAACCTTCGCAGCCCTTCCAGGAGTCCGTTTTGGCCGCTGGCACACGCGCTGCGTGCGCAACTCGAAAAGAGGCCAAAGCGCTTGAGAAGGAGATCCCCTTCAACCAGATCCCATTCGAGCAGAAGGACAGCTACGCGGCGGCCTTGCAGAAGGAGTGGGACACATGGACAAAGTATGCAGCGGTCGAGATCCTGTCGCCCCACGCGTCCCAGGTTGTGTTGGAACAGTACGACAGCAGTCGCATCCTCGACACTAGGGTGTGCTACCGCAACAAGAATGCGGCCTACCCCTGGCTGCCTTTGAAAGCAAAGGCTAGGCTGGTGTGCAGGGGCGACCGCGATCCTGACTTGCTCACTTTGCGGCGAGATGCTCCGACGCTGACAAGATTGGGTCTCATGGTGATCCTTCAAATTGCAGCAAGCTTGCCGTCCTGGTTCCTCTTCAACGCGGACGTCACCGGCGCTTTCTTGCAGGGCGACCAGTCGCTGGCTTCGAGGAAGGAGCCTTTGTTTCTAAGGCAACCCCGTGAGGGCCTTCCGGGGCTCGTCACGGGCCAGATCCTTCTCGTGGTTCGCGGGATTTTCGGCCTGGCAAACTCACCAAGGTTGTTCTGGAGGCACCTCCGCGACACATTGTTAAAGCTGGGTTTCGTGCAGTCCGTGCTCGATAAGGCCCTCTTCGCCTACTACCACCTGGGGCAATTGGTGCTCCTGATGGGAGCCCACGTGGACGATCTGATCGGTGCCGGCGAACCTGGAGGGCGCGCCGACGAAGTGCTGGCGAAGGTGAAAGAGGCCTTCGACTTTGGGTCCTGGGCCGACTCCCGGACAGACGAGGTGCTGGAATACGGCGGGAAACAAGTCCGTCGACTTCCTGATGGCCGAGTGCAGCTGACGCAGGAGAAGTTCATCCAGGCAACGAACCTCACTCCGGTACCGAAGTGGAGGTCCATTCAGCCCAACTCCGAGCTGACTGGCCGGGAGACGACCGAGCTGAGATCGGCCGGCGGCTGTCTACACTGGCTCATTGGCCAGACACGTCCGGATCTGGCTGCCGGAACTTCACTCTTCATGTCCGGGAAGCCCACCGTTTCCAACCTCCTCGAGATCAACAAGTTGCTGAAGGAGGCAAAGAAATCTCAGGACTGGGGCCTGTGTTTTTCCCCCGTGCCGTTGGACCAGGCCAAGGTCGTGGTCTTCAGCGACGCCTCTTGGGCAAACGCCGAGGGCTTGAAGAGTCAAGCCGGGTACCTGAGCTTCTTGACGGGGCCCGATGTCTTTAGCCCCGGGGGTGACACAGCTTCCCTCATGGATTGGCGATCACATCGCATCCAACGCCAATGCCGGTCTACGCTGGCAGCTGAGACGATGTCCCTCGACACAGCATTCGACAGCGGCATCTTCCTCCGCGAGCTGTTAGCGGAAGTTCTCTTGGAGAGCTACTCGCCGGTGCAGAGCGGCGCACTTCCCAAGGACTTTCTCCCTGTACATCCCGTGACTGATTGCCGTAGTTTGTATGATCTTCTTGTGAAAGATGGGCCAGTGTCGGCCACGCAAGAGAAGCGTCTCACGATAGACCTAGGTG